TACTAAATACGCTATTTTAATTTTCCTCCATTTACTTTTCCCTCTATCCTCCTTCTCCCTTCACCTCCCCTTCGCTTCCAGGCGAAACGTCGTCGCCCTTCTCGAATTCGCGAATTTCAACAACCCGGGAGTCTCGTTAATCGCGCGTCGATCTCTCATCCCTCCTATCGTTTCGTAACGTCGCGTCATATTTATTTTTCCACCCCCTGCATTACCAACAACGCCGCCCCCGCCACGGCTCGCGCCGATATTTCAAGAAGACGTATTTTATCAGTGGCCCCGAGATATGTATCTTCCGCCACCCAGTCCTGTCCGAGGAGAACGAATCGGTGCTCGTACTAACGCTACGCCCGCGATACGTACACAGAAGCGTATAGAAATATTCCGGCGGTGAGACACGTGCATTTTATTGCTCGCTCTAAGGATCGCCGGGCATCGCATCGATCCTCCGGGATAGTTCCGTTCTTCCCGAACGCGTAGCCAACCAGACAGCTCGTTTGATTTCCACTCTTCGGTTTAGGAAGATATTCGCGAATCCAATATTCATTGGACTCGAGGAACTCCGTGAAATTTCCATTTTCGTCCGGCCAGCTCCAAAACAATCCGACCCGTCGCCATTTATACGATTCCCCCGGCTTCCTCGGTCGCTCTCGAATCGCTCGGTTTCTCGGAAAAGAAGGAAAATGGAAAACCAAGAACGGAAATGAAAATAAAAGCAGCAATTATTCCCGAAATCCGTTCATCTCCACTGCCGCGTCGATATTTCATCGAATTCGAGGCATCGATTCGAGCCGGGAAGAGCAACAGAAGCCACGCGTGTCGCTGCCTCGAGCAGCCCGAGAGTCAGCGTTTTAAACGGATCGAAGAATTAATCGACCTGTGCCAGACGACACAGGGTTGGCCGTTGCTGGCCGAAATCATTCTCCTGTCAGGACGTCACAGTTTCCTTGCTGGCCGATATTTCATATCCCACGAGTGGATTTCGCGGTGCAAAACCGCTTCCCTCCCGTTATCCAGACTCTCGATCGTATCTACGTCAGCTGGAGATACACTCGAAATAGATGAACTCTTGGCCTAGATCTTTATGCGTCCGTCGTTTCGATGAAAGCGATCGAATCCTCGCGAACGGCTAAGAATTTCGTTTCCAGATGTTGGCGCGCGCACCGAGGTACCTAGCGTTCTCTTGGCCCCGTGCGTTTTCCCATCGCGGCCATTTTTCGCTACGTCGAGCCCCGCGGGGCTCTGTCGAAGCTCGTGCCCCCCCCCCCTATCCCGCGAAAACCAGTAGCTCCGTGCCAGCCATCTCTACACGTGGCTCTCTTCCCTTTTTTTTTCTTCTATATTTTTTTCTTTTTTTCCTTTTTTTCTCTAACGAAACGTCCGATAAACGTCTGCGGGCGAAGTTTCCCGGTTCATTCGTCACCGGGCCCTGACAGCGCTCCGATTTTCGTCCTTTCCTTCCCCGGTGTCTCCGCCTCTCTTACGCTACGCCCTCTCAAACTTCCACCCGGTTCCATTGTTCGTCTGTTTGGATCGGGTTCGATGTGTCCTTATCGCGAGAGGCGTACACGTACGTGTTATCGATTGGCAGATTGAGTCTGTGCCCCTTGCTGTTCTGCGGCGGAGAATCGCGAGTCGATTCTGACACTGGGATTGCCGAGACGGGTGACGTATTTCTGTATTTTATTCTCACCCTTAGCGAAAATATGCGCGTGGTTCGATATTTCTAAACGTTCGTGAATTAAATTTACGAAAAATTCCTTGTTTTCCAATCGAAGCAGAAACAAGACATGTTCGAGCTTCGAAAGCACGTACAACAGCGATCGAATCTTCACGCAGCAATAACCTCGGTCTTACAATCTCCATTGCATTACGTATTCTACGCTTCCACGACCGAGGATACATCACGTACCCCCCGAGAATCGAAACGGACTTTTTAATCCAATATCGGTTAATCGGTTGGAGAATTTTCTTAAATCCCATTCGACGAATGCTTTTCCAAGGACTAAACATCGGGGGAAGATCAGGCCGCGATGGCATATTACTTTTCTTGAGACTCGTCTGCTCGTAATCCAGTGACGGACGCGTCGCGTTCTGGCCACGCTATTTCCATTTATAGTCGAGGATACGAGCATGGAAAAAGATACGAAGTCACGTAAATCGTCACGCGATAGAGACACGCGGCGGCGAATATTCCTCTGTAGCCTAGCAGTGGCTCGAAACTTCCGGCCAGAGGCCGACCGTGCCCGATAGAGACAAGCCACACCATTAAGCTGCGTGATACCCCATACAAATCACGTCGATCCGCGATTTATGGTCCGTTCACCCCCTCACGCTATCGCGTTATCAGTCCCGCCGGTTACGGTTCCTGAAACGAGATTCCACACTCCGGGAGAGCTCTGTTTTCACGCTGCCCGAGCGCGATTCTTTCCTCTTGCGTTAACGCGCCGTCTGGGAACGTTTTTCGCGCGGATCCGCGCGATCCTCTGCGTTTTGTCGCGTCGAATAAGCAATTTCGCCGACGTTACTCGGCAATATCGTTATTTTTGCCATCGAATCGTTGGAGAAGTCATATACTCGTTCCATCGTTGGTGCTTTTTAATTCCTTTTTCTCATCGATTTCGTTTTATTTTATTTTATTTTTCTTTCCATTTTCGTTCTTGGGATTTTTCGAAATCGCGTGGCAATTTATCGATTCCCGTGACCGAGTGGCTTCCAGGAATCGTCCATCCATTTAATTACCGCGAGAAATCTGTTTACAGCGTCTCCTTCGATCCCCGCGAGGCTCGCGATGTTTCATTTAGCCTCCCGTAGACTCGCTAACCATTTATCCGTACTCGGAGCCACTAACCCAATTAACCTGGAGCTGGCTTTAGCGACGTATCGTAATGTTTTGTGTTGCGTAGAAACTTTCAGCTACTACCATCGATCTCTTCTCACGTTTATTCTCTACTTTCGATGCTTACGTTTAAATTATCCTCCGCGTACGCGGTGGCTCTGGAGAGCGGATCGGGTCGTAGCTTGCGAGTAAACAGAGACGGAAGAAAATTAAATTGTCGCGTAATTATGTGCCCCTGTACAGTCGTGGAGGCATTCGAATCATTTTAAATCGAATTACGAATCCTCGGGTGCAGCGATCGATATAATTTTCCACGTTTTCCGTCTTCGTATTTGATCCCAGCTTCATCGATTCGGCAATTTCTAAAAACCAGTGTCATCGAATTTTCAGCTCACTGAGAACGCGAGACAATGTCGATTAACGTACCCGAGCGTGCATAATTCAATTTAAACGAAAAAATCCAGCCCGACTGCACGCGCGCACATAAATACATATACCATTGACAGATCGGACATTTTCTTTCATTTCCACCCCTTTCGAAGCTACAACCCAGCCCACTTGTCCAAAGCACTCCGGTACCATCCTGATTTATTTTTCATCCTGTTTACCCGATATCGATGACGATTCGCCCCTAGTATCCCCCCGGTATCCAGGCAAATTTCGAATCAACCGACCACCACCACCACCACCACCCCCTACAAACGCGTTCACCGAACATAAATCCAACGTCGGCCACGATTCGCCGGTGTGTGTATTCCCATTTTCGTCGGCCCGTCTTTTCTCCGCGTTCCCGTCCATTCTTTCCGCTTTCCGCGCGTTACGCCATCGCGACGGGTCCGCCTTTGCGCCACGGCCGACTTTAAACCATTTACCCGTGGCCCTTTGTGCCATATTTTTTTCTCCCATTTTTCTCTCCCATTTTTCTCTCCCTTTTTTCGCATTTTTCCCTTTTTTGCCATTCTTCCCCCCGTCTTCTTCTTCCTCCTTTTTTCTTTGATTCCGAACGGGCAAATGCCAGGGGCAGCGTAATGCGCGCGCGTAGGCGCCGTGTTTATTTCGCGGAAAAGCCAGCCCGTGGAAAAAATGGCGGAGTGCCGTGACGTCAGAACGTCCGCATTCATCGCGAGGCACAAAACGCGTCGGTGTTTGTTTAACCGGTTTTAAAGGATCTCCGATTTTTCTGCCGGCCGTTCTTGCGATGAAAATTCACCACCCTATTTTCTTCTCTTTTTCCCACCACCACCGCCTCTTCCACTTTCCTCGGTTCCTTTCGTCCCTGGAAACGAGACCCGCGCGTTATATCGAACGAGCGGAAGCAGTTAACGCGCGAGGATTTTTCGCAATCGTCGTGGCACATTTCGCGAGATCGCTCGTATGTATCGCGATTGTCGTTCGAGTATTCGCCGACGCGGGCTTTCGTTATTTCTGACTATCCGGTTTGGTCTACCGTGATTTATGGTCTTCGTTTCTTCCACCTTTTTTCAATCCTTCTCCCCTTTCCTGTTTTCTTCTTTTTTCTTCTTTTCTTTTCGTAGATTTATTTGAGTTTTGAAAAGTAAGTTTGGTACGAATTCGTCGAGTCGAGTTATTTCGACGTTATTGGTTTAAAGTATGAGAGTATCGAGTTTGGATATGGACCTGTGCGAAGATTGTACATTTTTTGAGTAATTATTTAGTCACAGTATCGCTATCTTACACAGTTGCAGTAACAAATTTGAATCCCGAGTAATTTCCGTAATACTCTTAGAAGCTTTAGAGATCCCTTAGAGTATTATCGAATAATGTCGAATGTTGGTTTGGAAATTTTTCAACTTCGCTTACAGCCACGCGTTCTGTAAATAATTGTCAGTCAGCCGCGGATTAAGCCTGATCGATGAGCGTTACCGAGCCGACCTAGAAACAGGGACTCGTACTTTGACCCAGTAGCGTAAACCGAAATTTGCGCTTGGCGGTTATTTTCGCATACTTAAACCGCGCGTAGGTGTATCGAGATAGGATTCACCGTGCCAGCGATACTTCTCCGTTTTATCTCGAACAACCTGAGCAGCGGAATTTATCAAGATTATTTTTTATTTATTTTACCACGCCACACCTATCGTCCCCGTTTTTTATTTTTTTCTCCCACATTCTCAGCTTTCTTCTTGTTCTTTATTAATGTCAGGAGTGCCGGCAGTGTACTACCACGGAACCGGAAGCGAGAACGCAAGCCGCGCGTATACGGAGACACCGATGCAACACGTCCAACGGACTGCGCTCCGGAAGAAATGTATGAAGTCGACATTCACTTTGGACTGTGGAAAAACACGCCTTCTTTCCCCTTTCTGTCTGTCTGTCCGTTTGTGTCTTCGCTTCTCTGCGAGTCTCTTCGCGAGTCTCTACCGTCTCTCCGCTTCGCCGTCTCTCTCTCTCTCTCTATCTATCTCTTCGTCCTTCTCTCTCTATATTTCTCTCTGTTATTTCTCTTCGTACATCTAGTCTGTTCCCTCGACCTGCTCTTCTTTCTCGCGATATCGCGAAACATCGATCATTATCGTTACAGTTTATCGTTGCCATGAAACGCAAACGTCCCACCATTTTCGCTCGCAAGCGTTCCTCGGGGTCTGGAACGTTTCTGTTCCGCGTCATTGATCGGGGATTCATACATTTCTGCCTTGGTCGGTCCCGCGAGCGAGAAATAACAGCGGCGGCGAGACAGCGTCGATCCGACGAGTCCGGGGGTTGCGCTATCGTACCCCGCGCGCCCCAATCGATAGCCATAGGTTGTATTATCACGCGACAAATATTTTACCAACCCTCCACGCCGATGCGATATTCGGTTACTCGTGCGACGCGACCACGTGCCATTTCTTTCTCTCCCTTTCTCATTTCTCTTTATATTTTCCTCCTTCTTTCACGCGTCTCGCGAGCTTTCCAGGCGAGTATCGCGTAACGCAACACGGACGAAAGGGGAAAAGGGATGGTATGCCGAATCGTGTGCCGAATGGACGCGGGGTATGGTCGACGAAGATTAGACCAGGTTGCCACGTATCGGGTGCATCCGGAGCGTGGGGTGCAACGACGAGCTATAGACGAGGGCATTAGCAACGTCGATCGTTGCGGTCCGTGTCCGGAAAAGGGGTCCGGCTAAAGAACGAAAGAAAGGAGAGTTCGTTTAATCCGGGGATCGCGAAAGAGTCACGACGCACGAAGGAAAAACGTGCTCGCTCGATCGTCGCACGGCGTACAGAGAGGATCAGCGACAAAGCAACACACACGGAAAAATCACGTCTCTGTCTTCCTTTCGGCCGTCACTTTGGCGTCACACGATGTCTACTCTACTTCTTTTTTTTTTTCCTTTTTTTTTTCAACTCTCTCTCTCTCTCCTTTTAATCAGCCACAGACAGTGCTGTCCTCTCTCACTGGCTGCCGAGCGGCGGCAAAACGAGAGCAGCGAGAGCGCGCATACCGCGTATATGCCTCGAAGTGCGGAGCAGTTGTGATCAGAGTTTTATGTTTCAGTGGATCTTACCAACGGCCAGCTCACCCCGAACAACAATACGCCCTTGCTCACGCAAGCTCTTTCTGGTACGTCTAAAGTTTTCCATTCTTTTCGGCTTCGTTCCTACTATATCGCTTTCTTGATTTGTCTCGCATCGTTCAAGGGCCCCGGGACTTTGTGCTCGTACACGTGTTGCGTCGTTTATTAAATACACGTAGAAATTGCCCCGTGTACGTAGGAGAATGCACGGCCAATAGGTTCGCTGGGAACGACGCACGGTTTCCGATTCTTGATAGCTTTTCATTATCGAGTCACGCGATAGAGCGAAAAGCAATACGAACGAGAGAGAGAGACGGGGTCGGGGAGAGGATAACGACGATAGAGCAGCCGTGCTTCTTAGCACGAGGCCTTCGTGATTGTTAGATCGAGACGTTACGATATAGCCAGACGGGATCCGGTATTACGACGCCGCTTGCAACGGGACTTGGAACTCGTGTAATTCAATCCTCTTTCGTGATTCGATTCTCGAGCTTTAACAGAAACAAGCTTTGCATTACGTCGTAATGGCAAATTGCAAGGCTGCTCCGGCTCCTTCGTATACTTTGAGCGGTGAACGCGCTCGAACCGGTGGCTCGTCCCTGCTCGCGAAACTTGCCGAAGGTTAACCGTGAATATGATTACCGTGGACGAGCGATTCCATGCTACGAGGGACGTGTTGGGCACGCTGGTTCTCTTCGATAGCTACGTGGACGTGGCCGTGTCTGTGCATGAAGCAGCGAGAGATACTCGAATTTTTCACTTTTTTCTTACCGTTCAACGGACTCCGCTTTATTGGCCAATCTTCTGCATGACTTTTACTATCTGCGAATGATCTCTGTTTGTCAGTTTTATGTGTGCGCGTTCAAGCTTCTTCTCAGATTGTCCACTGTTTCCTTACACATTTTTTCTATGTAAGTGTCCGGTGAAAGTTGCTCACAGATGCAAGAGAATAATCGTTTGCGAAACACGAGAAACGTCATTTCGACGCGTTGACTGCCGTGCTGGTCACGGGTACCGCGTCTTCCAGTGTCGAGTTATTTCCGCTTACATACGAAGAATGTACACTAAAACGAATACTAATACTCATACTAATTCTAATTCGCGGTTAAGTTTAAGAGGGAGGACGAAATGCGATCTCGATTTGCGATCGTATCCACGAATACGCCTACGAATATTTGTAAAAATTCTTTTCGCGATATCTCGTCGCGATACGGTCGCGATACGGGTGATCCCTCTGGGACGCTGATTGCAAAACGGTAGAGATGGAAATGGCAGTCAACGTGTGGCAAGAACCATCGCGTGACAAGAGTTACAGCGATCGTGTAATTAAATCATCCTTCGTTTCGTTATAAATACGCGGATACGACAGCGTCTTCCGATGGATAATCGGCGAATCGAAGTGTCCCGCGAAGTAGGATAAATCAAACGGGCAATTATCCGGGGAGCCGTTCTTCTAAACGAGCAAAGAAAAATCCCGTCGCAATTGCGCGGCATTCTTTCCCAAGAATCCGTGCTAATTTCTGGAAAATGGCCACGGTTCCGGGCGGCTTTCACGACACACGCGGTGAAAGGACTTTCTTCTTAGCTCGCGAGGGGGTGGCGAAGCAATCCAGACAGCGGGGAAGAAAAGGAGGCGCGGAATTCTGAAAAGTGTCACACATGTAGGGCGGCTGGATGCCGGCAGCGAAATACACCGACTTCAACCCTTTTTATTTTTTTATTCGCTCTCCGCCTATCCGTCTCTCTCACCCTCGCCTTCTTTCTCTCCCCCCCCTCTTTCTCTCTCTCTCCCTCTCCCACCGGTCGCAGAATCTGGCCTGATCCGCCTGCTCCGCCCCTGTGCCGTCCGCAATCTCCTCTCAAATAAATCAAACTTTTGAATCGCGCCCGACCCACCCTCTCCCACCCTCACTCCGCATCGACGAACCCGGCCACCGGCAGAAAACTTTGTAACCGGCCGCCATTGTCAAGAGTTTAAAAGCTGAATGGGGTTTTAGATTGTACATCGAGCGCTTTCGGTTTGTCATACTCCGCCCTCCGCCCTTTTCTTCCGCCGCGAGTTTCGAATTCTTCGCGTTCTTCCACCCCTCCGAGGAATCTCTTCGTCATCTTCGTCCTCCACCTGCAGCGGCTCGTCGTCGCTCGTCCTGCGTTCCGCAATCTCGTAGTGATTCTTCTTCTCCTCTTACTCTTCCTCTTCTTCCACTCTCTCTCTCTCTCTCTCTCTCTCTCTCTCTGGTCGAAGATGGTGGTCGTTGCCCGATCCGTACTTGGCTAATCGAATCGAGGGGTAGTTTGCTGTCCTTCGAGAATAGCCTGGATTTCGAGTATCCGATGACGGATAGCGCGCGAAAATTGGGTATGTCGTGTATAACACAGCAGTGGCTGTTGAGAAAAGACACGTGCGAGAGGCATCCTCTGGTCTCTGGTACATTAATCTCTTTCGTCGCCCCGGCGAGCCGGCTGGCGCGCGAGATTCGGGGCTGAAGCGCAGCTTTTCGAGCCTATGCGTGGATGACAAGTTGGCAATTTATTCCCCAGCCCCGTGCACCCGGGGCGCACAATTGCGGGGTGTGTTTTAGTCTGTCGGGCGTGGTGGCTGCTAATAGGAGGAGGAACACGTATAGCCGATGAATGACCCGCGGAGTCCTCGAGATCGAACGCATCGTGGTTTTCTTTCGTATCCCTCGTTATTTCCAGAGACTCGAGCGGATCGTTGCCCGCGTGCTTTTGGCCAATTAAGCGTTATCCAGCCCCGTTGCGCATCGGTGTCGCTGTGCCAGTTTCCCTGTGCCCCTCGAGTGGCTATTATTCCGCGAGTCGATCGCTCTTTGCTCCACTCTCTCGTATCCTGTTTACCACGGAATGCCAGCGCATATTTTACACTTCTCTTTTCATCCTTGCACTCTTATTTCCCTCTGTTTCTCTGTCTTCTCGTTGCCTCGTTTCGCTCCCGTCTCGCAGCACGTTCCATTTGCCGGTAACCGAGCTGACATGGCCGCGAGGACGCGGCGCGACGCGACGAAACGCGGGTTAGAAGCGGAATCGCGTTCCTCTCGGGGAAAATGCGCCGCGTTATGAGCAACGGCGGCGGACTCACTTTACGGCTAAAAAGCACGTGCTCGAGGATCCTTCTTTGTGCGCTGGTCACGGTTGCTGTCTCGTGCGATTGCGTTGCTTGTCCCGGTGACGTGTGCAGCGTATCGTATCCGTGCACCAGCGGTTTTCCGTTGTTCCATTACGCGCAAAGCTGTCTTGTAATCCGCTTATTGAGTGTCTCCTTTTATTTGCTTCTTCCACGTTTCACGTGTGTCACGATTATTTGTCTCCGCCAGTGGCGACGTCGCTGTATACCACCCTCTCTCTCTCTCTCTCTCTCTCTCTCTCTCTCTCTCTCTCTCTCTCTCTGTCTC